GCACAAGGTGGGCAAAGCAGATGTTCATCCTGAGCCTGTCTGACGTGGTGGGCAGACGCGTCATTCCAGGGAAGAGAGCTCTCAACCCATGTCCACAAGGCCCCACCTATGAAATCATCTCCCAGACAGTCCTGTGAAAAGTGCCACAGGACCCCCCAAGAGGATAATCTATAACCAAAGACAGAGGGCATCTGTGATATCCTTAGGGACCCATGTGTCCCAGACAGATAAGACAGCCAAGGTTCCTCACCACGTCCAGGGAGAAACCCACCACCTCTCCCAAGACAAACCTATTTGTCTAGGCCACAAGGGAACCATGAGGCTTCACGACAATGAAAGGTAGATGAGTTGCCTTCATATAAGGTCGGGTGTCAGGAACTGTCAGAGAAACCTGGCTAGAACTACTTGGAAACCTAGTCCATAATTTTAGGAAAGCTACGCCATTCTTTAATGCTAACAGGTTGGTGTGTGCACACACACACAATTCTTTTTAGTCACTTGGTAATCGTTGTCGTTTCTTCACACTGCAAATCCTCAACTCCTCTCCTTCCAGATATAATAAATGCCACCCTCTGGCTGTGAATGAACACAGGCCAGATTCGGCACTCCTCCCTGCACCCAACTCCTAATTCTAGAGCCCAGAGCAAGCTGACCTGCTAAAATGTATTTCTTGAAAAAAGAGCTGTGACTAGAGAACATTTCTGATACCAACAACAGATGCTCTGTGAACTAATTCATGCAGGAATGTACACAGAGACAGTAACTAAACTGCCTGTTAAACATACTGTGAGAAATTATGTTGTTCTCTCTCTCAAGTTGGGCTTTTTGGGGATGAAGTCTTAAAAATGATGTGTCTTTATTTCAGCCTTTAACATGCTCATAATTGTCAAATGGGGTCTACAGGTTATAAAGAAACAAAACCTGAGCCTCTCATTATACCTACCCTACCCTTTGATTTCCCCCTTCCACTTAACTGTGGCCCTTTCAGCAAAGCCAAAAACTATGCAGATAAAAATTTAGTTAGATATAAGTTACTTATATCACAGTTATCTACAATGACATTCATGCAGGGTTCAAACAATTATGGACATAAAAAGAAGAAAATTCTCCTGCAAATTCAGTATGAAGCTGAGTGAATTCTTCATAGATAGTGAGATCCATCTTAAAAAAATTCACTATTCATTGCTACTCAGATATCTTGTTGAACTAAATATCAAAATACTATTTTTAAATCTAGGCACAGGTTGAGAATCCCTTATCTAAAATGCTTGGGACCAGAAGTGTCTGGGATTTTTTTCAGATTTTGGAATATTTGCCTTATACTTACTGGTTGAGCATCCCTAATCCAAAAATCTGAAATTTCCTTCGAGTGTCATGTTGGTGGTCAAAACGTTTCACTTTATAGAGCATTCTGGATTTTGGGTTTTCAGATTAGGGTTGTTCAACGTGTACATGTTTGTATCTTCATTAGCAGGAAATCGTTACTGTTAATGTTATATGACATAACAAATTAACAAAACCAAGACATGTGACCACCAAGTTTTATCAAATTCTCCAGAGACTACAACAGTAATTATTAATACAAAAGATTTCTACTGTGTTTGGATTAGAGCAGAGGAAACTGCACACAGTAGACAGCTTCCTCCATGTGCCATTTTGCACATCTTGCAAGACCATCTCCTGTCCCATGTAGGGGTGGGGGAATGGGACGGTGGAGTGGGGCACGCACATCTCCCAATAATCTTCTTTTCCCACTAACTAAGCCTCTCTCCCTGTGTGTCCCTGGCACCTCATGCACACCTCCCACACACGATTGCCTGTTGACTTCCATCTTGACACAGCACAGCAAGCTTGGCTCTGTAAAGTTGGGGACCCACGAACTTTTATCAGTTCATTTTAAAACTCCTGGCAGAGTATAGAATTGATGCTCAAATACTAGTTAAATTGTGTCTATTATCTGCCTTTCTTTACTAACTCAAACTTAGCTTTTTCATAAAACATTTTCCAGTAAACCCATGCCTTCCTCAGTCACTCTATGGATCGCTAAGCGTTTCCACATTCCTTTAAAAAGTATATGCTTACAACATTTACATATTAATTTAGTAGTACTCGCTGTATCATTTCCTTCTACATTTTATAGTTCTCAAGAGTAGAGCCCAGCTCCCCATAAAAACTGACAGAATAATTCATACAATGAGTATTTAATGACAATGAAAAAGTAACAATCTGTTTAACATTAAAGAATGGCATTTCTTCCTTAAAATTGTGGACAAAGTCATAATACAAATAGAAGAAGGTACAAAATAGATTGCTTACAATGAATAACTAGCTACTTTTCTATATTTTTAAGTAGAGAATATGGGGACTGAATTAACTTAGATAAACTATATAACATCAAACCTTAATAGTGCCACTTATTTAGGGACTGGATTTTTTTTTTAATCTTCACTGATAATGAGGCAAGAAATTCTCTGTACTCAGGTTTTGTTTATCTCAGGTTGCTAAGATGATATAGGGGAAATGGCATGTGAAGTTCTGTACACGTGATTAAAAGAACTTCAGATCCTTTTTCTCATTTCATCTTTCCCAACCACTGTTCATAAATTCATTACTTATCTAAAAATCTCCTAAGGAGTTTTAAAATCCAGACTTCAAAAGGTGAGCTCCAAGAATTTCCAAAGTTATTAATTTTATTAATAATAAATCCCTTTGATGAACCATTTTAGGGCATTAAAGCAATTATGAAAGCATTTATCTTACCCAAATAAAATTCAAGTTTGGGCAAAACCAATGGGGATGATATTTCACAGGGATGTACTATGTAGTCAAAAAGAAAATAAAAGCAGAAAAGTCTCTCTCTATATATATGTTCAATTTTTTAAGGGAAGAAAAGTCCTGATCTGTAACTTGAAAATACATGAAATAGGTAGTGAAGCACAATTTCCTGGAGAGTGATCAAAAAACACTTGAGCCTGAATATTCAAACTCACAAATACTTTCACAAAAGCATTTTCTACAAGCCAGACCACGCAGGGCTCTGTTGCTCAGGAGCCAGGCAGAGAAATGCTAACAAGGCACAGCCTGGGGGATTTGTCCTGGGAACAGTGCCATTTAACATTCTTACTATTTGCTGGAGGAAGGTGAGCTAAAAGTAGAGAAGATCCTCATTGAAATTTAGTAAAGATAAATCACCAGTAACTATAGGGATCTAGAAGATATTTTGGTTGGGTTTAGATACAGTAAGGGACTAATATGAAGGCAACAAACTCAAAGCACAACTCCAAGGCCACACAAATGAGCCCAACTAATGTCATTCTTCTCATTTAAGATTGTAATCACTAAGCATGTAGGTTACTCAGGCTAAATGAAAATGGGAACCCAATAATACCCTCATTTATGGACAGTCCAATGCCAAGACTATAAGATACAAGAAGATAATGTAAGATACAGGAGATATTTTAATAATATAACCATAACCATAACCACCACAAAAGATTAAAGGAAGAAAAATAGCGCCATGATCGGAAATGTTTAGACAGTTTTGTTCAGAATACCAAATCTATGTTGAATCTATTGATAGCTATTCCTTCTCTCCAAACAGAAATTACCTGTTCCTGTAAATTCCCATATAGCAATTTTTAGCATATCTCCTATTTTTCATATTGTGATTTGCACTTTAGATACAAGTATAAATTCCTTGAGAGCTAAGACCTGCTTTGTACTCTGCACTTCTGCCAGAATAACAGATTTCCAACAAATAGTTGTTAAAGGCAGTATAGTGTAGCAGTTAAGAATATGAGTTCCACAGCCTCACATTGTCCAAGTTTAAATCCTGGTCCTACTGCTAACTACCATGGAGATCTCGGGCAAGTTTATAATCTTTGTACCTCTGTTTTGTCATCTAGACATAGAAATAGTAAGCAGTAGGATTATTGTATTAAGTGAGGTAATACATTTAGTGGGCTTAGAACAGTACCTGACATTAAGTGTTTAATAAATGTTAGCTAGTAATCATAGGGATGATTACTAGTAGTAGTACATTATAGAATGAATCACTTAATAAATGACTGATGTACAAGTAAAAATTACCATAAAAATTAGAGGGGTCCTCATGCTGGGTTTTTCTTGAGTCAGTGTCAGAATTTCTCCCAGATTTAAGTTTTCCACAATTAGATAAAATATAGGATGCCCAGTCAAATTAAATTTCAGAGCAATAACAAATACTTCTTTTGTATACTTATGTCCAAAATATTACATGGTTGGAGAAATCTGATAGGAGCAGCATCTGTTATAATAAGAACTTTGTTTTGTTGTTCTAAGAAAAAGTCTGAACTTTACAAGTCATTCCTTCCTCTTTGAAGAAATCCCTCCCTTTTCACCTTTGGGAAGTCCCTTTTGGCACACAATAAGTTGAATAAAAACAAGGATTTTAAACTAGGTATAGGAATATACTCTTTCTATATGTTCTACAGACCACAGTGTACCTTGCCCATCTGCAGACAGAACCTATGATCAGAGGAGCCCAGTTGGGTACCACACAAGTTCCCACAAGTCAAACCATTTTGCAATTCTTCAAGGTCTCTATACAAGCCCTCCTTCCACCCAGCTTGAACTAAACAGAACAAACAAATTTGTTCAGAAAAACAAATTTGCTTTGAATATTTACAATGGTTTTTTAAAAGATAGTGGCAAAATGTCCCATATGTCAGCAGGGGTTTATTTGGATCAAATTAGTGCTGGTGGTTTAAACATGCTAAAGTGTTTTTAAGCAGGAATGAACTCTTTGAAGATAGATTTGCATATCTGTAAACAGGCAGGTTTCTGCAGAGACCAGAACATTTAGGCATGTATGAGGTTATATTTATGATATCTTATAAAGGTGTGGCATACTATATATATTCAATATAAATACATCTTTTACAGATAGAGATCAGATTTATACTCTTAATTCTAATAGTCAGTAATCCCAGAAAACAAGCTCACAGAGGATGCTATCTTACCCCGCAATACTGATTTGAGGTTGAGCTTGGCTTGGCGATGCAGGTCCTCAACGCAAGGGGGTCTTGTGGTGGGAAGGAACACATTCTCCTGCTGGTGCCATGGAGCAGTGTAGTGGACTGTCCAGCGGCTCTCCTCATCTAGGTTGGAAACCGCTAGAAAAAGAAAGAATAAATGCAAGTGTTAAATTAAGCTTCAGTGGCTGCAAATATATTACATCAAGATGGCGTTTTGGTGCCTAACACTTCGATGGGTAAGGGCCAGCCAGGGGAAAATGGAGCAAATTCTACATGAGATTTAGCCCTTTTCGTGCCCTTCCTTTTGCTCTCCCTTTGCTGCGACAATGGGTCCTGCCGTCATCTGTGGCGTATGTGTCTCGCCCTATAAACCTCTATCTCACTCTTGCCCTATAACCCTATCTTTCTCTCTTCAATAAACCTCATTTCATGCTTGCCTTAAAAAAATAAAAAAGAGATTTAATCTTAGACTCCAGGGGTTTTGCCCACAGTGTTTTAAAAGTCTGTAAAGGAAAAGCTGAAACTGCCCATCTTCTATACAACGTTTTCGTAGAATTATTTGCTCAGTTAATTTCTTTCCAGAATTTTAGGTCCTCCCTCTACTCTAATGTCAGAAAAGGACTGACAAAATTGATAGAGATGTCCAATTCCTACTGAATCCCACCACAACAAATACCGGTTATTCAGTTATATAATAATGCCATTGTATCAGTAAATGTTAGATAGTCCTGACAGAAACAAATTTCCTACCAGGAGGTTGACACCAAATTTTCCCCCTCTAATGTATTATTTAAAAAGCATCACTGTTACGAACTCAATTACATTTTTTTAAAAATTAAGCATAAACATTCAATGTAATACATTTAAATGCATATCTAACAGATGTGGAGGTCCATTTGAGCTATAAAATTTTCTCTGCATTTCTTGCTTTCAAGGAATACTTGTATATTAAAATGTTTTCTTAAAAAAATTACAATATGATTGACTTTTCCCAACACAATCCAATCCAACTGAATTTTCCCAACACAAAAGATACCAAAACATTAGAGGGGGAAATGATAGGCAATCCTGACACTAAGATAAATCTCTATAATAATTTTCCTTTAATCCCCCTAAGGCCTGGGACCTCTTTATTTCATTTTTCCTGACCACACAACCTAAGCTGGGGCACCAGTGGAGCCCCAAATGAAGCCGACAGCACCAAAGCAAATTCATCAGCAATTTTTTAATACTTTCTATAAATCTGCCACGTGACCCAGGCATGGGAGAGACTGGAGAAGTATAGGAGAAAGTCCCTGTGCTGAGGCATTTACTTGAAGGGACAAGTCTAACTCCCGTAAAACCAGCAGACACTCGAATCGTAAGGGGCAAATCTGCCCTGCGTCTGACCTATGCTATAGAGTTCACACTGGGCAGACCCATTTCTACAGCACAACATGTACCAGGAAACTAGGACACAAGCCAGATTCTCAAAGCAAAGTGGAAAAGCATGCATGAACTACTGAATCTATCTGAACATATTTTAAATTAACTAAACATACCCCATAACACAGTTATTAGGGCTGTTCTGAAGATGAAATGAACTAACATGCATAAAGCTCTCAGCTCAAGAAATAACTCGTGGAAAGCATGGTGGTGGCAGGGAGAGTGAAAATTATTGTAAAGGGGTCCAAACTTTAGAACCGTCACTGAGGAGGAACTGTGCCTTTCCCAGCTCCTGTAAATCTGGGCCACAGGTTAGCTCTCACCCCATACACAAGTGGTCCCAACCTTTTTGGCACCAGGGACCATCTTCATGGAAGACAATTTTTCCACGGACCGGGGATGGGGGGCAAGGGGATGATTTCAGGATGATTCAAGTGCATTACATTTATTGTGCACTTTATTTCTATTATTATTACATTGTAATATACAATGAAATAAGTATACAACTCACCATAGCTTGGGGACCCCTGCCATATACCATCTTTTCTACAGCTAAATTTTATAAGGCTATGAATCTGAAAAGATAATTCATTTTTTAAAGGATCCATAAATTGCTAAATAAGAAAATAAACACTGAGAACTAGATAACAAGTTAAAAACAGAAATGTCCTGTGTGCTTTCTGCACACGATGTTTGACAATAGCAGCTGTAAATTAGGCACCCAGTATTTCACACAATCTCATGGAACGATTGCTTTGCATGGTGCATATAACTATCCATCTTAATATGTAAAATCCACAAAGACCTGACTTAACTCTCATTTGTGTTTCAGAGACTCTGGCACAGGGGCCACATTTGCTGTATGTCCCCTAAAGTGTATCCAGAGTTCATTACAGTGTTTTATGCTGGCGTCCACTTATTTTAAAGATGGACTTACCATACTTCACAGTTAGAAAACATTGAAAATTGAAATTTTTCCTATTTGCCAATTAACAATCAAATCTAAGTAATGGCATCCGTGACTGTGTAATAATCACACCATTAGCCCCATTGCACAGCTACCAACTAGCCTCTATGAAAGAGCGGTTGTGTCTTCCCTGGTGTACCTCACTGTCGCCAGGGCAGATTGTAATCTGTCCATCCAAAAACAGCCGTCAAGCAAGGGAGCTGCAGAAAAGGAGCCGAGAGTGTTGTTCTTTGTTGCTTTCTCCAAAGCTTCTCTTACCAATGTCCCTACTCATGCACGTGTATCCAATTTAAGTCATTGGTCAAAAAATTAAAATAAACCACCAACTACGTAAAAACAAAGCCATATAGTTACAAAAATTATATTTTCAGAGAATGAAGAAACACCTGCATTAAAGAAATTTAAACCAACACTAAGTACACAATGAAGCCAACACCACAAAAGCTTTGTACTTTACAACAATCACTGATCAGTCTAGACGGTTTGTCCGCGGGCTCTTAAATGCCTAACAGAGAGTGCCAGGGAGTTTTAGGGGATTATCCCCACCAAAAATATGTGATATATTACACAGAGGCTCCCTTGCCTAGCTGCACATTTGGCCAAAGAATCAAAAAACCACACACTGTGTACCAAGGGAAACATAAGTTAAATATGAGGGTTTTCCTCCTTCTTCAAAAGACTTCTTTCGAGAAGCACAAAAGAAGTGAATTCACTTAAAACCCCAACCATAAATAAATCAGACATACTAAGATCACATAATACTGTCCCAGAGTTACAAAAGTCTGAGGTATTTAAACAGCCTGATATAGAGCAGAGTTTAACTCATGCTAATTATGCTGTTTCACACTCTAATTTCATCACACAAAAGGATGAAGCAGGACGTAAAACACACACACACACACACACACACACACACACACACAACAGGGAATGTGGAGAAAAGGAACTACTTACTTTTCTTCTTAAAAAGTTTAATGAAAGACTTAATCTTTGTGTTAATGAAGACCACCATTTCCAGGACGCTTAAATAGGGCTTAGAAATTTAAATCACATTAAAAGCTCAGTCCAGCAGGCAGGTGGCAAGCTGTGTCCTTCTGCTCCAGATTGTAACTTTTCTAACCCAGGTCTCATATCCTCAGACATCTGCCCAGGCTGATGTAACTTTGAGGTTGAGCTTATTGTCAGGCAGTTACAAACCATTAACAGTCCTTGAACCTGAAAAACTCCCACTGAAACCTAATCTTTAAGGCTGAGAGCAGCCAGTGACATCGTGCCACAGAAAGAAAGGGAAAGCCAATCACGGTTCTTATTTGCATGACAGCCCCATCAGGCTTTGTGCCTTGGTGCCCATTCATTTGGTTTCTCTCCAACAGATCAGGAGTTTCTCCTCTCTGGAGTTTACAAAAATAGTGTAGATTTTCCTCGACAGAAGTCAAGATGAAACAAACGTGTTCCCTATTTCACTAGGCCACTATGAACTTCCAGATCTTTTTACAGGGGCCGACAAGCCTGAGAGCAATTCCAGTTAATTCAGGGTGCATGGGATTTGAACTGATTTAGGGGGGAAAAAAAGCAAAACTATTGTTTTCCAACCACGCCCCTAGGCTCTGCCTCCCATACCAAAGGAACATGTACAAGCAGTAAAACTTTAGAATAGAATCTCCAAGGAGCTGCAAATGATGACTTGGTTGCATTTTTGTGCAAATTAGGATGCCTTCCCACCCTTCACTGCCCATGATTGAGAATCATTGTATATTCCAAAGTGTGAGCGTATTTACATCTAGCTGCCACAACTCTCAAAAAAAAAAAAAAAAACCCAAAAATATAATTCCCCATTCCAAATGGGAAATTAGATAAAGTATCCTAATCATTTTAATCTTTATTTTAAATGTAATTCTCACCTTAGCACCCAGTTTTTAGAATTCCACAATCGTCCTCCCCTTGTGGTACTCTCAAACAAACATTACTTAAGTAATGTTTGTAATTACTCTTTAACTTGAATATACTGTATGGAGTTACCAAGTTCTAGTACTTTTGCCATTTGCAAATAACAGCAGAGTACTGGGAAAACACAAATAGAGATGGAGAAATCAGAAATGGGGTATGAACAGGCATTAGAGACATACACTCCAGTAGCAAAGGGACAGGAACAAAAAGAAGAACACAGATCAGGAAATACTATGAAGAGGGACAAAGGAAAAAATGCTTCTCACATCTCACCCCAGTTCCACTTCATGGCCAGACAGTTTTGAAACAATTTAGACAACCTCTTTTTTCATAGCTTTGGGCCAGACTTACAACTGAATGGAAAAATGTAATAATCCACTAATTCAAAACATTTAGTTTGTAACAAAGGCTCTTAGTCAAAGAATAAAATTTATATAAGGGGCTCTCTCTAGGGAAAGCTTTGGAATGATTCCTTCTCAAATCTTTTTATCCCCTTAATCTTATTTTTTGAACAACAAAAGCACCCCAAAAAATAAAGAAAATAGAAATATTACCATATTACCATGCATATTATCACAGATTTCCAATTTGTCTTCTTTCATCCTATGCATAGCTTTAAAGCAATTAAATTGCCAGATGGCAATGAGAAACAACTGAGACTGTATGTCAGATTCTAGAACTGCCTTAAATTGGTGGGCAAAGTTCCCCTTTGGAAAACAAATTTATCTGTAGGAGTAATCTCGTTCTGCTCACTGCATCAGAGACAGGTAGAGTTCTGGGCAGAAACACTCCTATTCAT